AACGTCAACAACAGCACCAGCAACAACAACAACAACAACAACAACAACAACAACACCAGCAATACCTGCAACAGAAGCAACATCATCGGCAGATGGACGAAGGAGAGCAGGGAACGCGTGAACAGTTGGTTCGTGACGTCGAGCAGTACGGTGGTAAGGACGGTGGTAACGGGCATCATCGTCGCCGACACGAGGAACAACAACAACAGCAGCAAGAACAGCAACAGCAGGACGATCAGGCTCGGGAGCAACGGGAGGTGGAGGGATCGGCGTACAGGGATCGCGAGGCTTCCCTTTTCGAAACCGAATCGACGCATCCTTACAACGAATACAGCTGGAAGGTGAACCAAATAAATCCTTGGTTGTCGGCCTGCGACCTGGCTGGCCCAGCGCCGGCCGATCTTCAGGCTAGCTGCGATCCACCGGAGGTGCCGAAGAATTGCCCGCTCCCCTGCGTGGCGAGCACGGGGGGGAAAGGGGGCGATGCCGAGTTCCTCGAGGTGATGAAGAAGGTGAAGGTCAGCGGGAATTGTTATTGGTCGAACGGTGAGGAGAAGGCGGTCGAGTCGGCACGGTTCGGTTCGAGTTCGATAAAGTCTTTTGGGGCGGAGGGAAGCGCGAGTGAGAGGAAGGCGAGGAGGGGAGGCGATGGTGGAGAAAATGGCGAGGGCGTGCGAATGGTTCCGGAACAGTGCCTTTTTTATCTCGAGGAGTCGCATAAGAGGAACATCTGTCGGGATGATTTTGGCCAGGCCAGTACTTTAACCCCAAGGGAGAATCGATATTGGTTCATGAGCGGGCTGCGTCTGCGGCACTGCTGCGATCACGCGGTGGTCAACGCCCTGGCACCTGGCAAGGGTGGTCCGCTCGAGAATGTGCTAAACGGTGGCCAGAAGTGCGCCGATGCCCTGGACAAGCTGTTGCACGTCGATACGTTAGCCGCAAAATTGCATTGTGGGTTCGAGGAAGTGGTCGCGCGATACGACTGTGCACAGCCCTATTCCGTCATCTTCAACTGCACCCACTGCAAGGTAAGAGATGCTGCACTCTCTTCTCTTTCTTTTCGTTTTCTTTTCCATTCTTTTCCATATGTATGTATGTATATATATATATTTTTTTTCTTTTTTTTCATAGTTCAACTATTCCTTGGCTGACCTAGGTAAATCGGTGGCAAACATCTTGCCAAGTAATATCGGTTCTCGATATATATTAATAAACGAGAAGCTATCGTAAAAAAAAAAAAAAAAAAAAAAAAGAATCATTTCTCCTTCGAGTGTTTTCACGAAACGTAGGGAAGAAAGTGGAAACGGTTTTGCCAGACGAGGCGGAATGTAGTTGGCAAGAGACTTGCATTACCTTGGCGAACGACCTCTTTCACAATCAACGCTAATAAGCGTTTGGTATGGAATGTCCCGCAATTAGGAACGGATTCAATTTCTCTTAGCTTTCCTTTTTTTCCCTTCGTATTTTCGTTCCTTTTTTTTCTCAACGAATCCTTGCCAAGTCGTCTTTGTTTCGAGATATGTACATTCGTTGCACGTACAACCAATCCATTATTTCGTCTCTTCGGTCCGTTCGTTTCTTTGCACTCGATAGCCAAAGCCCGGGCGAAAGCATTGCCAAAACTGTAGATTTGATTACTCGTTAACGATATTTTGATATACTTGCACATCTCTTGGAGAATTCTTGGAGGAGCGTTCAATTCGAAACGTAGCTCGAAAAATTTTTCCTGGCTGATCGCGTCGAGAGTTTTCGAGCCGACAGAAATTTACGGAAGAAGAGGCGCTCGAGCAACGTGGATGCCAACTCGAGCGCGATATCGATTTAAACGATTAGCACAGCCATTCGTTCGCCCCATTTGCGGCTCCAGAGTTAATGTCTGAATTCAGACACTGTGTATTATCCTTTACATACATATGTATGAGCCGATGATTCGTTTTCTTCGTTCGTTATTTCAATTTCCATATTTGCCCGATGCAACCTGTTTCGATGTATATCCCATCTCTTTTCCCTTCCCTCCAGAGAGATTGTTCGATCCGCATAATATAAACGCGTGACGTTGCCTCTCTTTGCCACGGATTATGGTCGAAAATTTCTTACTCCACGTTTTTATTCTATTCTATGCTATGTACATTTGGAACATTGTGCTACGTTATTTTTCATTTCGATAAAATGGATAAAATAGAGAGAGAGAAAAAAAAAAAA